GAGAGGTAGAGAGAGAGAGTTTTTGGATGGTCACACAGGTTATATGCTTTTTGGAACTTAATTTTTATGCATGCAGGTTACTTGTTCAGTTTTGGTGCAGCTACAGCACATTGCCTCTTAATGTGATCATTACCCAGGTGATTTTTAAACCTTTGAATTGCTTGGTATTTAATTCTAGGGTTATTGTGGTACGGATAGCGGTGGAAATAAACTTTAATAACAGCAATTTATGTTTCTCTATAATTAGAGGAATATTTCTGACTTTGTCTACTTGAAGGACTGATTATCTGTGTTATCAAGATCGGACCAGCCATTGAGTTGGTGAGGCATTGGTCTAGTCATGTATTTTAGTACATGAGAAAATTTTAGGAAGAATAAGGAAATTATGAAATCATAAATTAATAAGTAGAAGTAAAGAAGCCAACAAATATACAAAACAATCAAGCATGCATAAAGCACTCAACTTATTAAGCATAAGCATTGAATTTGAAGGGCATTAATTAACACCAAGCAAGCGTCATATCCATAGTTACATGCCAAGGGCAATACAAAGCCCACTAGGCCACACCATAATTGTCTCACAAACTCATAAACCATAGGTCATAGTACGAAAGCAGTAAAATGTGGTCCTAAGGTTTATATAAAAATAACAAATCACATATACTCAAAAAGTTATAGTGTTTAAAGCTCATAGCCTCAAACTCAAATTCAACAATATCCAAGTTCAAAATTCAAACCCCTGAACTTGCAAATGATATACACTCAAGACCTTCATATTCATCTCATCCTCCATTTTCTACATTATTGCCAGCCTCATCATTGACATCCCCATCATTGACACCCATGAGATCCTCATCCATCGCCTATGAGAAACATAGTATATCACTAAAAAACCATAGTGTGTTCATTTATTCAAGGCTCTTTAGAGGAACCCAAAAAAAAAATTACAAAATCGAAAACAGGCATTGAATGGTTACCTCCCTAGGGAGGTTCCATTTCCATCCAATTATGTAAGACATCTTCAACACCTTCGAGAGTCTGTTGCTCCTGCTTGACAACCCATTCTTCAACAATATCAATATTCTTCAGCCATGTTAGCCTTTGAATGGTCCTATATTTTACAGTATTTCAATACTTTAGGGCATTAGTAACTTGCCTTTGTATAATAGATAAACATTATTTAACATATTGGCAAATTGACCAGCCCAATACTATAATTTGTTATTGTTACCTTTGTCTCCCTCTAGTTATGTTGCATGAAGACTGTCATTGAGCCTCTTATTTTACTTTTTTTTCTCTTATTTTACATGTTTCTCTTATCTGTATGGATGCATTGAAACACGCTTCAACTCCTCGCACAACTTCATGCATTGCAAGTTTGGTTGAGGATATGGATGTTGAACTTCTAAAGGTTATAAGCATCACACGAAACTTTTCCAACATTCAACTGAGTAATAGATAAAATAGTATGAGAAATTGTATTGTAATGTCGAGTAATATATAGATATTTCAAAACCGATCTTTTAAATTAATCAAATGGAACATTCAAACTTGGAAGAGGACAAACTGAGTTAATAGGGGGGATATCATCATGTATGTTTATTTGCCCTCTTTCTCCCAAGATCCTCATGGCCCTCTCATACAAGCTCATCTCCTTAACAATCCCACTTGCATAAGGAATGTGCCCGAGGCCTATGTGGTCAGGCGGCGAAGCCACAATGTGACGTTTCAGGTTCCATTCCAACCTACTGTTAACATGCCGAAAAAAAAAAATTCCCCACTTGCATACGTCTCTGTAAAGGTGTATTGATCTCCATCATAGAATGCATGCGTTTAGAGATTTTGGCTGGGTCGAAAGTTTGGTTGTGATGTAAAAAAAAACTTAGGGTTAAACCAGTAAGCAACTGCATTTTTGGGGTGCGGAAACTACTTATCCCATTTCTTATCAATGATCTTTTAAAACTTCTAGTATTTGAAATTTCTATAAACATTTCAGCAATTACCCTGTCAATTAACTCATATGTAACTAATGGATTGCCTAGTGTTATTGTGTACTATCCTCAAGACCCTTACCCTGTGACTTTGGCAATATTGGCAACTGTTGACCAAACTTGAAGCTCAAGAGGTTTGACAACAGGCTAGTTCGCCTGACATGGCCCAGCCAGTCGGCCGCAAAAAACACAAGCTTGGGCCATTAAAGTTGGCTTCTAGGCTGGGAACGAGCTTGAAATGCAAGCCCAATGGCTGGGGCAGGCCAAGTGGGACCTATGTTGGGGGTTTATGGCCCGGTCCTTTTTTTTTTTTTTTTTTTTAACTTTTAGAAATTATAAAACAAATTTATAAATTATTGTTAGATGGGGATTGAACCTAGCCATACTAACCAATAGTTTTAACACGCATGATAACTAATAAATTTCGAAAATGTAATTAGATGTGGAGTTTCACATTCATGCTAACCAATAATGTGTTGGAAATAATTAAGTATTTGTATTTGATAGGTATAAATGTCTTTTATTTTGTATAAGACATATATGTCCTATTTCATTAAGAATGGGCAGCGTTATGATTAGGCCAATATATTAATTTAAATGAGAGGTATGTGCTGGTTTTTCTTAACCATCACACCACTCTTTCTTTTCTCTTCCTTCTCTCTCACTAACATCTCTTTCTCTCCCTTTTTCTCTTTGAAAGAAGTTGCTATGTGGAATTCAAGGCAATAAAGTTCAAGATTTTCTCTTTTCCTTTTATTAATCAATTTGAATTCCACTTACAAGTGCCACAAACTCTGCTGCAATTTAGGAACAAAAACCCTGAATACAACATTAGACCTTTCCTCTTACTATCAAATTGAATAGACACAATCCAGTAATGAAATTGAAGCTTTCACTAACAATTTTAATATAAATAATGTTCTTGAGAATTCAAAAAAATATGCAAATATGATTAAAAAATAAAATCTAAGAAGACTTACTCGAATGTGCCTAGGGTCACCCTAATAGGCCTTAGTACACTCCACATCCTATTTCCTGTCTGATGGCGCACTTCGATCCTATTAGTTTTGCTGAATTTTCAGAACTAAGAAGCTTCCTTAAGCAATACCTCTCAAAGTAGGGTTTGAAGAGCATAAAACACACCTTGGGATTATTGGAACCCTTTCTAGAACAAATCGGGCATATACCACAAAGGCACCTCCCTTTTTTAGGGCTGGGCATGCCCAACTCTCTACAAACCCTAACTTTTTAGGCATACCAAACCTTTTTTCTTATGGGTGGCATACCACCTAGAGAGAGAGGAGAAAGAGAAAGCTAGAGAGATGAGATGAGAGAGAGTGGGGCATGGAGGAGGTAGAGAAACCAAGGGAAACGGGCTTGAGAATTGTGTAGAGAATGGGGGCCAGTCCCCTCCTTATATAAGGCTTAACCCCCTTAGGTATGCCTGATTGGCATTGACCAATAGGAATTTAGGAAATGTGTTAAGTGAGAGAGAATTAAATCTAAGTCAGCCATCCCATAAATCAGCCATCATGATTTAGTGAAAAATATTGAGAACTTTATCCCCTTATTCTATTTCCCATATCTACTTCTAGTCTAACTAGGATAAGACCAAGCTAAAAACCTTCTAAAACTGCCTTTTTTATTTTTTCCTCTAAAAAATTATAGTCAAAATAAAATATTTTGGCCAAATATAATTCAAAAATTAACTCCACAAATAAGGGCAATCTTGTTTAAAAGATTGGCCAAAAAATGAAAGGGCAATAAAATAGAGGGGATCAAGATCTCACAATTAAGAATCGCGATCCCGCCTAAGCGAGAACTTGGAGTGGGATAGACACCTAGGTTGGGAGATCTTGGTAACTATCATCAAGAATATGTAGTGCTAAAAATTTGGTGAACTAAGAGATGAACAAGTAGACATGTTGCTAATATCTTTTGATTTAATTTCCAAACACCCAAAAGAAAACACAGGGCTAGTTGGAATTGTTGCAAATGGGTAGAACATTAAACAGTTCATCTCTCATAGGTTTTTTGATAAATTTCCCATATTTATTTTTTGAAATATCCTTGCCACAGCTTCTCTATGTGCAACTCTGCTACCTCTCCAACTAAAAGTAACTACTTAAGTCTGCTTTTAGAATTGGTTATTTTTAACACGAAAATAGTACTTCATGCACATCTTTTCTAGTTCAAATGCTTAATGAATTATTTAATTTGTTCTAGATCATTAGCCTCTTGGAGAAATACTTAAAATGCGTAGAGCAAGACTAAGATAAAATTATTAGGAGATTTTGTCGTTTGAAATCCTTTTTCCCCCATATCATGTTCTGATTTTCTTGTGGAAATAATCTACCAAGTTCTTGGCACATTGTTCCAACCCTGTGGAGGCTCTTCATAATTCTCTAGTACTTCTCTTTCCCCAATCCAATATGTGATGTAATCTGATAATTGTATGATTCTGATTAAAATAAACTGGATTCTTTCATTTGATGGCCGCCTTTTCAAAATAAACCGTCAAATTTCTTCTGAACTTGCATTATTTTCAATGAATGCAGATGGGATCTCGTTTTAAGAAAGCCTTAATTGCAGAGAGTGTGAGGCAATCACTTCATGGATGGTGCAAGAGAGTGAAGGAAAGATCCAGGCATGATTTGCAGTCACAGCTTACAAGATCAACGTGTTCACTCGAGTCAATTGTAGATGGGAGAGAAGAAATCATCACAGTTGCCTCTGGGTGCCTGTCCAGGTGCCCTCCTACAGCGACACAGAGATCAATATCTCAGAGGACATTCTCTACTGGTTCAGTGGAACATGATCCTGGAGTTGACACCAAGGAACCACTCTGTGATTTCCTGGTGAATTTCTCAATTAGTTCTTCTTCTTCTGAAAATGGCTACCCCCTAGAGCTGGACTTAGATCTTGATGATCATGAACATGACGTGGCTGGTGATGTAGATGGTGAGAGTACATTACATTGCCATCAACCACTTGAGAATGTATAGATTCTAAAAACTCCAGTGGAAAAGAAATTGAATTAATGCTTTTGCTTTCTTTTCTTATATGAAGTTCAATAGTTCAGTGAAACTTTAGAAAGAGGACAAGAAAATGCTGCAGTAAAAAATGTTGTAGGGGTTTCCTGGCAACCTTTTAATCTCTCTTTCTCTCTCTCTCTCTCTCTTTGAGCAAATAAGAACATTTTTTCAATGCTTCTTAAGTTTTTTAGGCTCCTCAGACTTTTAGGCTTGATTTATCTGCGGGACATGATATTGAAAAACACATGGAAAATGAGAAATGGAACATGCATGGATTGGTTCAAAGCTACTTAAAATGTCCAGTTCCAAAAGGGAGTTCCCATTGAGCAACATCGCTGGGCATTTGAACATGTCCCAGACGAAACATGTGGCATGTGACGTGGTCCTCATTATTATACTTTTTTTTTTGGGTGTAAATCAGCGGGTTAGGGTCCTTACTGTTTTCAATATAATTTCATGACTTGCAGGGGCAGTTTTCAAAATCAATGAACAGTTAAAGAGAAAATCAGGTCTGACCTCTAATCTAATGCCTCTTTGTTTTTTGACAATATCACCAAGCTTTCATTGATAACATGAGACAGTACACCAGATTTACACAATTAGAGAGTCACTTATAGTGGGAGTTGCAAATTAACCCCTGATCTTGCCAATCCATTTGCCACATCATTAGCCTCCTTGTAAACATGAGCAAAGGATAGATTTCGGCCAATGCATTGGTCCATAATCTCCGACCATACAGCCTTCAGTTTCTAGGGGGATCTTGTTTCATTCTTACACCAATTATTGACATTTAGTAGATCTCATTCAACAATGCAGGGTACTATTGTTGGGTTTATGTGGCTTTTAAAGGCTTTATGAGAGCTTGTATGAACATTTTATATAGTGAAACATAAATTCAGTGGGAGTGCGGTCATCTTGTGGATCATATTAGGGAAATGCGATTTGTCGATACTCGAATTAAGCTCGACGTGTTAGGCCAGCCGAGTTTGAAAAAACCCAAGATAATTGGGCATAGGGATCTATCGAGAAGGGTTTAGTGGGTTAGCCCTTGATGAAGTCGGAGTATGCCCAGATGAAAGCCGAGGAACTGTGTGGCCCTTGCGTGTGATGAATAGCTTTTTGAGACAGGGTTAAAACCTCATCATTATATCATCACAAGGCATGTACATAGATAGTCATTTTGAGATTCGCCACTGAGGGTGAAACGTAGACATGTGCATGAGAGATTACCCCTATGTACCATAGAGTCATGGTTGCATCATGATTTGAAAGATCATGATTTTTTTGTCTCTAGGGGAAAACCTGAAATCTATAAACTATGATTGCGTCCCTTAGTCTATTGACTAACTTTGATGGTCCAATCATGAGCCCCTGCAGTGAACTGTGGGTCATGGGAACTGCTGGGTCAGTTTGAGAAAGTTAGGTAGATCGTGGTTTGCAGTTGAAGGTGGACTGCTCCTGTATATTGATAAATTCTTAGACTTAATGGATCTGATTCCCATCAAAATTAATTAGTTTTAATAAATTTTATGATATATGATTTTTTTAGAATGTTTATTTGAATTTTTGTGAATATTTTGATATTTTATTTTTGTCATTTGGATTTATAAATTAAGATAAATTAATTTTTCAATGTTTTAAATAAAATATAAGATTTAAAAATTTTAAATACAAAATAAAATATTTTTTAAAATTATATTGGACCCTCCATAAATATGGGGGCCCAATTTAGAACATGTGGGATTTGGTGGAGCCCATGGCCACCAAAGGGTGGCACGCCCCACCTCTCCAAGATTGGGTGATAGTTATCCCCTTATTTGTTGGCTTATCTTTTGGGTATAGACAACTCACAAGTTGAATATTTGAAATATTTAATAAATATTTGAATCAAGATTACTTGATCCAAGAGATGAAGATTGGATATACTAAAATACAAAATAAGATATATATACTTTTTTTATTTAAAGATTTGATGGGAATAGATCTAGAAAAGGGACAATAAAGCTCCTAGCGCATCTCCTTGAATCTTGATGGTGAATCAAAAAGATGAATGGCTCAAATCTCTCACCCCACAAGTCTCTTTAGATCGACGGTCAAGATTTGACCTTACTAATTGAGACAAACCCCAAGACTTAGAAAATCTATGAAAAGAGACTCTGCACGTCATAAAATCTCTACACTTGTTTTATCTTCTCTCTAAGGGTTTATCTCTCTCTTTTAAAGATTTCTCTATAGGTAACACACCTCACCTAGGGCTTCAAGATCTCTTCCATGTTTTTCTAACGGAGCACAACCAACCAAAATCTCTCTCAAGCCAAAAGGCATGCCCAAGTCATCCCTCTCGTTTCTAGGTGGCACACCCAAGCTAAGGTTAGCTTGTGGTGGTTTGATTTTTAGGTAGCAAAGGGGCTGATCTCTTTGTTAGTAGATATCTTCTTCTCTCTTTAATCTATCTCTTATCTCTCCAAAGATTAAGCTAAAGGGGCTTGAGCAAGACTAAGACATTGAGACGAGATCCATATACGATTGAGATCTATCTCTCATCTCTCCAAAGATCAAGCCAAAGGGGCTTGAGCAAGACTAAGACATTGAGGAGATATCTATATACCATCAAGAGGATTTTGTCTTATGTAGGAGAATCAAAAGACCGATTATAGATCCCAAGCATCATCAAAAGGAGAAGACTCGGTGTGGGGTGTATTAATTCCGGTTGAGGTAATCTCCGGCACTCTCTCTTTGTTCCTTGCCATATTTAATAATATTGTCTTTATATTCCCAAGCATAAGAATTGTAGATATTTTCTTTGTTTAAAGAAAACGGGTTTAATGACATCAATGTTTTTTTTAAGATCTTGGATTTGTTAGTTTTATTTTTTTTGAAGCAAGAGCTATGGTAATAAGACTACTTGTAAGTGATCTTTGCCAAACGAAAAGAAAATGGGTGAAAAGAAGAAAAAAATAAAAAAAATATTTCCCGGCAAGATCACATTAGTCTTTCTTTCAACTACAATTCGCTTTTGAGAGATCAATTTAATGGCATTTTTCGGGCGGCTATTTTTAAAAAAACCAAAGTTTTGGTTTGAGGTTGAAATCGTCGGACCACAACTTTAAGTTTTGACCAAAAAAACGATATGAGGATGATATCTTCAGACTGAGGGATAATTTTCTAAAAAGAAAAAGTTGTATTGACCAACCTTAATTGTAATTTTCGAGTATAAAAGGATACGCCGTATGAAGAATCTTCCAATTCCACACTTTGCTAAGATTGGGCTGAGACCATCTCAACCGATCATGAAAAAGCCAGCTATAAGTAGATTTCCCTGAGAATACTCCATCATTTTCTTGTTTCTATGTAAGTTCATCCTCAGTATTCTCCAAAATGTAGACTCCCTCTAAATCTTTCCATAAACAGTCTTAGCAACCCTATGGTACACGCAATCAACATTCCAAACTATTCGGGAACCACTTCTCTCATAAAGGTCAGAAACCTAGCAAAAAGTTCTGGATATGCCACCTTCAATGGCCTATCATCCACCCACTTCTGATGCCACAACTTAATATTATCCCCTCTTCCCACCACCCACCTATTATGATTTTGAATAATTAGTTTACACCTCAGAATAGCCGTCCGTATGTGCGAATTTCGAGCACTAGAAGACCTCATTTCCGATGCCTCAATGGACATAATAAATCAATGGACCATCCTCAGGGCTTCCTTCCTGTAGATGGAATATCGTCCATTGTTGAAACCAATTTCAATCTACACCTCCAAGTTCCTTCCACCTTGTTTTTTGTGATGGTCAATCTGAGGCATTCATGATAATTACATTCGTGCATTGCAATTTTTCTGGTTTTTTTTCTGTTAAAGTTAGGTTAGCTTATTTGGCTTTTCGCGACAAACTTCAGGACCCTTGACCTCATTTACGCAAACTGATATATCTCACTGTAGACGCATGAAGGACAAGTTCTATTATATTCATTCTTGCAGTTTATCTCAACTGCTGAATCAAACTTGATTTGTTCCGTCCATTCAGGCATCGGAAATGAGGAGATTTTTTGGTGCCAAAAAATCCCAACTTATGGAAGGCTATTCTGAGCTGTAAACTACTTAATCAAAAGAGCCGTAAACTGTGATATTTTTAAGGGAAAAGTTTATACAGAGCCGAGGCTCTAAACAATCAAATTAGAGCCCACATCAAATTATTTTTAAAAAAAGGTTGTTTTGATGCCCAAATATCCTCAAATTGATCATCTCGATATCAAGATGCATGAACATGAGAAAATAAATAAATTTCAAATTTTGAAAGTAGTGTATTTTTTAATGCATTTTTGGACCGTCAATTTTCAAGTTTTCATAGATCTATCGATTTGTATTATTTTTTAAGCTTTAAACTTTAAAAATAAAAATGAAAATATATTTTAAGGCTCTCACAAAGAATTCCAATATTGAAACCATATATCTTGACACTATTTGAAGGTAGGCTCTAATTCGATTGTTTAGAGCCTGGGCTCTATACAAACCGCACCCTATTTTTAAATGGACTCGGTTAGCGTGTGGCCAAGCCCGCACATGTAGAAATCCGGGCTTGACAATAAATATATTTTTTAAGTATAATTTGATCCTAATTTTTGGAGAATATATAATCTTTAATATGGAGATCATGAATACGATTTTTTTTGAAAACTAGAAATAATAATTATATTAAGAAAATATTTGGACTGTGAGTTACAATTGCTTTTAGATGGACCACCTATTTGCATCCATCTTTAAGATTGATGCTTTATACCTTTGGGCTGTATATTGTAGAAATGCGGTCCAGCCCGGTTAAAACAATTGTTCTTTTTAAATTACGATATCATATTAATAATATCATAATAAAAAATATATATTCTAATAGTAACATGATATTATATTAAGATACTAAGATAATAACATAATATTATAATAAAATATATTTAAATGATCACTAGTTGACTAGTTCAATAATAAATATGTTAAATAATAATATTAATAATAACAATAATAAT